GACGAAAACTCGAGCTAGAGGAACGGCATTTATTAAGGAAACGCTCAGGCAATGACAGGTCGCGAATCCTGGAACCAGAGATTAAAATTGAAGAGTTAAGTATTGATATCCCTCGAAAATCGCAATTCGCTAAGGCAATGAAAGGAAATACAAAGTCGGATGAAAATGAATAATTTATTAGTTTTTTTTTTTTGGTTTAATGGATGAATTTAATTATAACACGAATTATGAAAATGAATCATAGATGTTTCCGTACGTGCAAGGTTTTTTTCTTTAATAAATAAAATTGATTAATTGAATGTTTTGTGTAAAGTGATGGCGAGTTTGCGCTCCCATTTTTTTTTTTTTGTATATCGTAATCAGACGCAGGAGGAATATCGCGATTGGACAAAGAAAAAGTAATTTTGAGGTCATGGTTTTCCCCTTTTGCTTTTCTTCTTTGTTTATTATACGTGAATACGATATGGACAAGCAAATGGAGATTATAATTTCTTCAAAATTCCTCCCTGAATCAAGTCCCAGGTTTTTAATTCTCTTTACATTTTTTCTATAAAAATTTTATTCGATTAACACCTTTTTTTTTGGTTTTTAGCACATTTTGCCCTTACTATACTATGGAGATATGTATACTTTGCAAAATATGATGCGTATTATTGAGGTGCTCTGGGTTTTAAAAAACACAGGTAGGCATTTGATATGTGGCGTTTATTTGGTTGAGAGCCACAGATCAAGTGTGAGCATTGGTATCATCCGGCCGCAGTAGGCAAGAATCTTTAACTTATAATTCAAAGCAAATATTGATTCAAAATTTGGTATACAAATACTGGTGAACATATTTTAAGATTTCAGTATGGCAATCTTTGTAACGTGCCCAAAAAGAACTTGATACGAATATTTCCTACAACTACTTACAATATCAGTGGAAGTTAAATTTTGATCCAAACTGTTCGAACTGAATGCTTATCACTTACTTTGAGGCATCGATCACCAAAGCATGCATTAAAATTTATTCTTCACTTTTTTAAAGTTTTTTCTATTAGTGTCTAAATGAGTCACACTTTTGTAGGAGATTTTCAGTGGCTTTTGTCTTGTCACGCTTACCTCTTGCGTAAGTGCATTGATACTATATTATAGCGTCTTGCGGCCCTAATTTAAGGCATGAATTCTTTGCTCGTAAGGACACAATCGAAATACAGCTAAAAGCCAGACATTATTGTACAAGAGATAATCCAATTAGATGCTGAAGGTATCTGAAACAAATTTAGTAGTATGCCGGTCTGTTTCCGTTTTTTTTTAAAACGTAAGTATGCATGGTAGGAATAGTTCTTCGAATTCTTTGCTACTAGCTTTGATTTGTGGTCAGGTCAGCTCAACGAAGTCATGCTTGATAAAAAACTAGTTTACATAATTGAAAGGAACTAATATTGGAAGCTTTCCGATTTCCTTGAAATTTAGTATATTCTCGAATGTCAAGCTAATAGAAAATAATAACTGAAAGATGTACGCTTTAGCTAAGAACTTTCCTCAAAACAATTACACCCGTCATCACTTGTGGTAAACATATGTTAAGCTCGTGAGAACGAATGCAACATCCAGAAGGAATTGATATTTGACACGATTTGAGCATGCTATGTCCGTCTGGTGTCGCTCGCTGTACACACATGCTCCACGTAATTTTCGATGTTTTCCTGATGAAATTTGATTCACTGCTCAGTCGGTTACTAAAAACGATATGATTCGGCCCATCTTTACTACCATGTCTCACACTACGATCTAGTTGAATGAGCTTATTACATGGAGCAATATTTGATGAAAATCTGTGAAGAATGGTATTTTGACATACCAAGCGAACGTGCAAAAGTTTCGGTAGGATAGTGCCCCATATAATCCTTACAACGCAAGAAAGTCCCTGTTTAAGCGTTTTTTTGATAAAAGTTGACCCAAAATGTGCGGTATAAACTTTAGAGCAAACAGGGATAGTTTTCGAACTTTTCGAAAGTGAACCTCTTCGTGGCAACGGGATGTAAATTTTAGAGTTTTACAAACAAGTTTGACACAAAAAAAAAAAAGAGTCAAATTACTTTTATAAGTTTGGACTTTGAGCACAGAGGAACTTCGCCTCACTTAAAGGTTCTCAAGAAGAAAAGCCGTTATATGCAATGGTTTAAATTTTGATTTGAATTATGACAGGGATAAAAAAAAATTATAAAATTTTTGAAGAAGAAAATTAAATCTGCCAATATTTAACCATGCCAGTTAGCCCGTTCCCATATAGTAGCCTCCATGTAAGCCTTTACAAGGATGTTTGTACACCTATCTTAGGAATCAAGACATAATTTTAGATCTTTTATCGTGAAAATAAATGAAAAACTGTATTGGACGACAAGATGTAGGAGGGTGGTTTTATCGGACCACCACTACAAAATTTTAGGTAGTTTTATAAAAACTCCAGTGGCCGGTTTATAGTTCTCGATCTTACTATGAATATGTTACTCAACAGTAATTTTACGATCGAAAGACGCCTTTCGTTTGTGAGCGAAATACGTACTTTATCGTCAGTTGTGAACTCTGTACTCATTAAATATTCACCGCTACAGAATTTATGAGAAATCGGGAATCGTAAATTGACCCCATTCTTAAATAGTCACGAATGCTACTTGCAGAATTTTAATTGATTTTATCAAGTTTCCGCAACAATAAAATGGAAGGAGGTTATGATATATTGTGTTGATCTAGGCCTTAGAATCTCTGGTGTCTCATATCTCTGGTTTAAACAAATCGTAATAAGTGCAATAATATTAACAACAGTAAGAATCATGCTTTCATCAAACAGACAGATGTTTTTGGTAGTTTAACGTAAGTGCATACATTGTCGGGTTAGCCCCACGCTGCCCGATGACACACGGGTTAATTTAGCGTAACCGGTGCTCTCCAAAGAGTAGGACAATCCCTATAAGCTACGGGCTAAACTACACTGCAGAATGTAGATATGTTTATTGTGTATGGCTCAATAAATCCACTCTGGTAAATCTTGAGGCCTACCATTACCTCTTATTGTTTGCTTTTGGAACGATAGAAACCACAATTACCACGATACCGCCCGAAGGGCCGCCAGCTGTCAGGACTCACAAATTAGCTAAATGCTGCGTTCAAACTGGGGACTGGACATACAAGCTTCCGCCGCCCTTTCCACAAATATGTAAGTTTGCAGGCTTCCCCCGAAGGATCTTAACAAGCACCAATCTGCAGTAATGCTGTCACGTCTATCCGTAGGTATTCGTGACGTAGTGAATGGGCTGCTGGCCCCCGTGGATCTTAAAGTTAGACTATAGAGCCTATTTAGCCATGCTTTACGCGACATGGTCAGTCTTGCCTTCGGATTAACCATACAATCCCGGATAGCCAACGCCGGACTACCCTTCTTCAAGATATGTTAGCATCGGGTATTGCAACTGACATGGCGGGCTTTACCATTCTCTCGACTGTTACTAAATCAACGGATTTTACCTAACCAGTTACCAGCTGGTTCGGTTAGTGTTTACTTCTTAGCAATAGTCAATGAAAAAAGAGCGCTTCTTCCAGTGTACATTTAAGCTATCTTGTCGCCAAGTTATAGCGAACAATCATGATAAATAAACTCCATCATTGATTCTATGTTTTGACAAGCATTTGAGAAACTTAATCTGTCTACTGTGGTAAGCCGAAGAACAATAATGATCAGGGCAATAAATTTACGCTACCCCATAGCATGAAAACTTCAGAGGCGCTGCAAAGTCTATCTATTCTTGATCAGCGTCAAATTCTGAGTTAATTTAGCTACGTTTGTCCGTCTGTGTGTCCGTGTGGTGTGCGTAAAATAGAAATATCGGCCTCAAATTTGGTAGAAATATTGGCAGTTCCTGCACGCAGATTGGTATTGAAAATGGGGCAAATTGGAGGGAGCATAAGGGCGCAGTGAAACGTAAGCTGAATGCAACTCCGTTTTTTTTAATAAAATTATTTGGATTTTCGCTCGTTACCTGAAAATTATAAAAGTTGGCTGAAATTTTCCACATTTACTTTACGAAGCACTCTACTCCTTTCGTGCCAAAATGGACAACGTCAGCCATGCCCACACAAAGTTACAAGGAATTAAGTTTTGTTTTTGTTCACTTTTTTGAGGTTTTGTGCTTATTGATCATAAAGCATTTAGAACCATCTTGTGCACTCCTTAAGTGAAAATATATTATCTGCCTAAAAATCGATTAATTCTACAATGAATATGGTAGATACTGCGAGCTGGTGGATTAATTTTTTCTTAAAAATATTACCGATATGGGTATCAAATAAAAGAACTTGAAGAGAAGAATGCGAAAAGCATAGTGATGGGTATGCGAGATTCGCTGTCCGACGCTCCACC